GTGTGTTTCAGAACCACACTTTTAAACAGATTTCTGTCACTGTCAGGTATTAAAAATCAACACTGAGATATCAATTATGAGATTCTAACCTAAAAACAAACTTGCATAATTGAACATTATCTGAAAATGCTGTTATTACAAATAATCAAATATCTTTTTTAATAATAACTGTTCCCTTTAACAGGATATACAGGACTACAATGCTTGGGGTAGATAAACCAAGATGGAAAAATTATCTTCTTTTATCAAAAATGGCTGCACTCTGCCTTCCACAAAAACAATACCTAAATATAATAATGAGCACAATTATTTTTATTATTGCTTCTTTCTAATATAAGATCCTTTAGATATATTTGTGTAGGATCAAAGTTTAAGTTAGTTAAAATACAGAGTGGTTTATTTCTACTAAGATGTTATTTTAACAACTGCCTTTTATGTCAAAATATTAGGGATGACTGTCTTCCCACAATTGACTGCATTAGTTGAGATGTTGTATGTCAAAGAACTCAACTCCTAACCCCCTCATTTGATCTTTAGCTGCTACTTAGTTGGATCATGTCAAATAGATGGAATATCTCCAATACTTTTGAGTGCTATGACCACAGACACTTTTCATTATGATTGGATAAATAATGACAAGGACTAACAGTAGACGAATTTTTCTTTTTCGAGATTAGAATCTCATAACTGACATCTCAGTTTTGGTTCATATGGATATATATTTCTTATACTTATTTGAAAATTTTATGACTACAAGATTTTTTACTTTGGTGTGTGGCACAGCTAAATATGCCTAGAATTTTTAGTGTGGGAATAGTTGTACAATCATTATAAATATTAACTTAATGTAACTGTTTCCACTAAACTACAAAACAATATATATTTTTTCTGTTACATTTTTGAAAAATGATCATCAACATTTGAAGTACATCTACAGATTTGATTTTTTTTTTTATTCTCCAAACTATACATGACTTAATTACAGGTTGATGAAATGTTTATACTTTCATGTTCTGATTCATACATAAAACAAAGTAGTTTACATGGGGGAAATAATCAATTTTTTGAATATAGAAAAATAGTAAGATAAAGTAATGTTCTGGGATCTCTTAAGCTCAAGATAACTTACATTAAGCATTACTCTAGTGTGATAGAATTAAAGCTGTCATTGTTATATCTCATAATGAAATATATAGAGTAGCCAAAGTTAAAATAACATGCAAAAAGCCTAAAAATGAGACAATGATGCAAATTATTCATTGCTTACATTTATAATTAGTCTTGATCTATGATGAGGTTGTTTGATTTACTTTAAAATTCCTACATTACATAAAAAAAAGACATCAGTGACACATTTTTTATGTTTATAAGGTTTTCAAGCAGGAAAAGTTTTTACCATGCTTTTAGTTTGTCACCATTTATCAGCTTTTCCTCCCATACCAAAGCTGAACTGCTTTAAAGATTCAACTTTGAGCTTCAATAGCATTTCTGAAGCCAACAATATACTATATATACTTGTCTCTACAACAGAACTCTACCTGCATGGTTTAAGTGACTTTCAAAGAAATAAGGCTTGGGGCAATTTACAATACATATATATATATCTATTTAAGTTGTTCTTTTTAGCTCAATGTCACAGAATTGGCTATATGTTCTCTATCATAGGAAACTGAGCTCGTTGTAACTAAGTGTTGCAATGCAGGGGAGGGACTTTTAAATAAGTAAACATATTTATGCTTGACTCCCACGTAAGCAAAGAAATATACATTACTAATGTCATAAACATGTAACACGAAATATAATAGTTATATAAAAAATAGAAATTATACATTATTAATAACCAAAAAATCCTTCTTAGTTAATTTTACACAAATAAGAACAGAGATTAAATGTAACAGTTGTTAACAATAAAAATAACATGCTTATTTATACATTGGATATTGGAACATGTACCAGTCACACAGTACACACATCTTATAACTTTCTAATTTCCAGATACATTGAACATATTTCAAACTTACAGGTGTACCACTTTTAAACATGGAAAACAAGTGTACTACTATAAAAGTTTAGTAATAAAGGGCATTAGTTTTATTTCAAAATACTGGTGTGAATGTGTGAAAATGTACACAAATGAAATGATTCTTAATTATGGTTACATTAATACATGGCACATGCAAGTGCACAAATTACAAAAATCCTCACACAAACCTGGTGCAGAAGGTAGGTAAAAGTTTGAATACAGGTGTTCTGTGCACACCTGTACAATTAGTTCAGTCAGGTAGTGTACATAGTCATACTTATTCTGTATGATTTGAATATTGGCTTTTGCTATTTATTTATTTCAAAAATTAAAAAAAATATATATATATACCGTATTTTTCAGAATATAAGACACACCAGTGTATAAGATGCACACTTATTTTGAAGACAGTGTTGGGGAAAAAAAAGCGACAGTTGCATTTGAAAGATTTTTATTGAACAAAAATTCAATTTGATACTTTAAAAATTAGTATATATTGTTCTATACCCAAAAGAGCTCAAAACATTAAAAATAAGAAAATAACATAAATCAAAAAATGGTTTACGGTTATTTAGTTTGGTTCAAACCTACAAAATCTTCATTGCTTTCACTGTCACTTGGAAAGGAATCATTGGATCCAATATTATGGTCAAAGAGAATGTCATCCTCGGTCCCATCCATTGCGTTACTGATACCACTGATGACCTAATCACTATATCACTTCTTACTTTTTCCCACGAATTTTTCACCCACATGCAGACCTAAGCAAGCATCGGTCTCTTCCTTCGTCCTGTAGGGTTCATAGCAAAATCTTCCTGCTGCATCCAGTTGTTCCATTCCTCTCTCATTAAAGTCTTAAAGGGTTTGTTAATAGAAACATCAAGAGGTTGCAGTTGACTTGTTAAACAGCCGAGTATAACAGCCAGCTGTGTTTTTAGCTCATTATCTTTTTCCTTTATTTTTTCCATTTTATGAGCTCTAAAGGAATCCCAGACGAGGAGAGAAGGCTTTTTTAATAAGCCTCCTGGATGTTTCGACCAAATTTTTTCAAACCAAAGTAGTGTTCCGCCTTCTTCCATCCATCCTTTTTCATGTACGTGAACGTACACACTGCCGGGTAAATTTTCTTTGGACATTGTTTTTCTTTTAAAAATTAACATTGGTGGTAATTTTGTTCCATCTGCACAACATGCTAGCACCACTGTATAATGCATTTTTTTGTGTCCAGTAGTCTTAACAGTAATAGTTTTAGTACCTTTTATATCAGTTGTTCTATTGCTTAGAACATCAAATGTTAAAGGTGTTTCATCCATGTTTGCTATTTGAGACAATTCAAATGGAGTTTGTTTTTTTTTTTTTACTGTATAATATACTTGTGAAAAGTACAAATTTTCATCTGAAACTAATCGGGCATTCTTTGATCAATTTTCGTTTTAGTTCTTATAACTAGGCCTTTGCGTTTCATGAACCGATAACACCATGATGTATGACCAGTAAAATCTTCTTAACTATTATCACATGCAATCTTCTTTGCCTTCTCTGATCCACAACCCATTTGTACAGTTTATTTTCAAGATCTTGCCATTTTGAAATTGCGTTTATCACTTTTAATCATTTTCAATTCTTCTTCTTGTTCGTGCCAGCAATAAATAATTTTTTCTGTTGGTGGAGGACCAAAATATCTATCAACAGCTCTGTTTCCATGCTCTTTTGCATAATTAATCACACTTAATTTAAGTTTAGTTGTGTATGACAGTCTCTTTTCTTTAGACATCGTAAGGGGTGAAAAAATAGAACGAAAAATGAAGAAACAACTATTTTGCTCCTGAGGCCTAAGATACGGTACTTCGGCTTTCGGTGACGCATCCCACTTGACAGTAAGCACGTGCCAGACTGCCGAGTATCAAATGAAAATTGAAATACTGATTAGGCGATTACCGACGCTAATTGCATTAAGTGCTCTGATTGGTCAAGTGCATTGCACATTTGAATCCAAGGCAAGCACTCAAAAACGATTTTTTATTTGTTAAAGTTAGGCCTGAAACGCCTTATTCTGCTCCACATTAAACAGGGATCGTCATGTATTTACAAGCTTTTTCACTCTCATCCATTACTATAGTTTATTTTTTTATTATTTAGGGAGCATTATAAACAGTTATGTTTTTTAAAGAAAAAACTACTATTGTTATAAATAACACATTCAATTGAACTAAACTATGCATGCCTATTTAAATATATTTACACATGGCTTGTGTATATCGTACATATATATATATATTATTCATACCTTCGGTGTATAGGATGCAAGCAGATTTTGACATCAAATTTTGGGGTAAAAAAGTGCATGTTATACACCAAAAAAATATGGTATATATATATATGACTTCATTCAAAGGATTATTTTTGTGTCGAAAGTACAAATAAATTTCACATCTTGGTTTTAGAATTTGTAAATATAATCATTCCTTGATTTAAGAGAAAAAAAAACAACTAATATAATCAAGTTCTAGTTTGAGTTGCAAAATGTCTCCCAGTACTATATGTTTTAAATTTATATATATATATATTGGTTTTAATCAACAAAATTTTGTCTAAGTACAATAAACAGTATCAGAAAGAATGCAGGGTGTCCAAAATGTCTGGAACCATGGGTGATTTGCAGTTTGGAAGTCCGAGCTCAGTTGAACGACACCTTCCCAGGACTTTGGATTGGCAGATGTGGTCACCAAGTTCTCAGGGGCTCAACTCAAATATGCTTTGCAGTATTCAAAGAGAATGGAAATACTGTCTCCAAACTTTTTTTGAATTACAAGGACATGATGTGGAACACATTCTGTAAAATTCGTTGAAGTGACTATGGTTCCAGACTTTTCAGACACCCTGTAGATCTTCAATCAAATTGATGATATAAAACTTTAAATATCATCAATCTTGACAAAGTATTATTTCTAAAAACACAGAAAGAATTAGAGCTTACATTAGTAACAGTATTGGGTGAAGCCTTGCCTTCTAGCAGAAGAGTTACAACAAATGTGTGTCCCTGTTGAGCTGCTTGATGGAGAGGTGTATATCCATGCTGAGCAAAAAATACAAATATGTATATTGAATCAAAATACAAATAATTTACAATCTTTTACTTAAACAGAAATGTTTATGTTCATATACATATAACATTACCTTTAAAATAGAGATTGAGGAGCCTGCTAAAATAATATTAACTTTTTTTTTCATAAATAATAAAAATATGTCAGATAAGTTAGGAACAGTCAGATATGATATTTATTGGAACACTTATTTTTCTCTGTATACATGTTTTGCATAGATCTTAGTGATTAGTGGAATTTGATAATCAATAAATCATTGAGCTCTTTAATTGATTACATTCAAGTAATCACTCATTCTCATAGAAAACTTATATAGCTGGAATAATGAGAAACTCTAATACAAATTAGTTGACTATTTTATGACATTAATAAATTTAATTGTAATGTTGACTAATCAATTATTTCACGTGGCACTAATTGATGTAATCAATGCTCATAGGTAATCAATGGAACTGATTGAGTTAATCACCCACCTCTAGTTTTGTATACTTTCAACTATTCCAGATACTTTGTTTGTTTTTTTATTTTGATTCAATAATCCCATAATTATTTTGGCATTTTCACAAAAAAAAAAGATTTAAGAAGTCTTGGAAATATTTAATATTTTTTCTATTTCTACACCATAATTTAGGACTAAATTGTTCTGAAGAAGTTATTGTTTTTTTCACTTGATATCCATTACTTATTCCAATATATTTTCCTAAACAAACCACTTACATTCATTCATTTTAGTAATTATACCACCTTAAAAGTGTAATTTTGGCCAAAACTAACAATGCCTTTTGATTATCAATAGTACTACTACATTTAATTATAGGACTTAATACAGTAATAACTAATTACTAGATGTCTATCATGTATAAATCACCATAGAACTTACAGAAGTTGTTGAGTTCACAGTGGCAGCATGTTGTAGTAGAAACCTCACCATGTTAACCTGACCAAAATGTGAGGCAACATGCAGTGGAGTATATCCAGCTTTGGACTGTGGATCAATCACAGCTCCATTCTTCACCAGAATAGCAGCCACTTTGACACGATCTTCTTGAGCACATAAGTGGAGAGGTGTAAGTCCATTCTAGAAAGGTAAAGCACATCACAAGATCTTTGAGTAGAGAAGAAGTAATGTTTTTTTTTCATCCAGCAACTAATTGTTAGTTTTTCTTGCTATTTTCACAAATGAAAGTTTTAGAAGTGGCAGAACTTTAAAGTTAATTCACAAAACTTTTTTCCTATAAAATGTATCACAATACTGACTTCATCTTATATAGCTTTCTAATAAAGACAAAAATGTCATAAACATCACATCACCTTAAAACAACATAATCATGGCTTTAACATGACAAACTGCATATGTCACATACACAGAAGTTTTTATTGACATAGAATTAGTTTTTAAGAGTATCATGAATGTTTTCTTCTGAGAGGAATCTGAAAATGTTCTATCATCTAAAGAACATTTCATACATGCCTGAAGAAGTGTTTGAAAGTAATACAGGAAGAGTAAGTTTTTCATCTACTACTTGCTTTCTGGATAACAACATATGTCTTCTTAAACAAATGGTGTATGTAGTTTCTAAGACTACAAATACCAAATATATGACACAAGTATCAGTAACACAAAGAGCATACACCTATAAAAAGTGTAAAACAATAATTTATACGGCATAACACTTCATAAAGAATCACAAGATTAAGTACCAATTTATAAATCTAGTAATTTGGAAAAACAGCTGAAATTTCATCCATGCTTCAGTGTCTCTGAAGTGGATTTAGTTCAACTATTTTCCAATCCTTTTTTTCTCATCTTCTACTCTTTACAGTAAAGCAGATGTGTAATCTATTTAAGGAAACTGATTTCAGTTTTAAATTTTTTGTGAATACAAAATGTTGACACATAAACAAACTATTTGATTAAATTCAAAAATTTTTGGTTTTAATTATCTAAGAAATCAAAGAAAAATATAAAGCAATATAATTCAAACATCAGATGAATTTTTTCTCCATGCACTAGGTTATTCAGAATATGTTCTCTACAGAAACAGGGAATGTTTTGAGGTGATTTCCTTCAAATGTATCCTAAAATCTTCCTATATTAGTATAAGTATTAGTAACATAGATAAAAATAACTAGGAGCTATTCCTATCAGATCACATCTTTTAACAGCAAACTCACTTTATATATATCTCACTTTATGGGTATTAAACATTAGATTTCCTTGATTTTTAACTAAAAACTCAACATTATTTTTTTCCTTAAAAATTTAAAGTTTTTGTCTTCTTTGTTGGTCCATTTTAATTAATAATCTGATTAATATAAGAGTCTAAAACCAATAATTTTACAAAACTACCTTGGCTGCAGCATTAACATCAGCTTGATGTTCAATCAGAAGTGTTGTAATGTCTGTATGACCTGCCTGTGCTGCCAGATGGAGAGGTGTGAAACCAGCCTGAGGACAAATTATCACGTTATTGTACTTAATAGCTACACAGTACTAAAGTACAACAAACCAAAAAGGTCAATATAAAAAGGAAAATATAAACAATAATTCTAGAAAAAGATCAAGTCACAATTAATATAAAGATCAACACATGACTGAAATGTAATTTGAATTTTGAGTGGCTCATATTAATTTAGTTAATCCAGCTTGACAGTTTTCTGTTGATTTAGTAACAATAACGTATTAAATTTTCTGCAGGTGATTCCACAACATGGTTAATAAACTAGAGTACAGCATATGTTTTTCAGTTACAAATAATAATATATTTACAAATTTCCTTTTTAGTGTAATTTGCTCATTTTATTTCATTTGAATATTTTTCTTTGACAAATTAATATTGCATAGCACAAGCAAAAATCTTTGATCAACAGAGAAAAATAAGAGATTAATTTCTTTATGTTGAGTTTTAAGAAATATCACATAATTCAATAGTTTAATTGGTTACAAACAAAATATTTACACTTCTTTATGCTATAAACTTTAATGATAATTATAGTTATAAAACTATGAATTCAATGAACATGAAGTGAAACTTGTTTAATAATCATAACATAATTTATCACAAGTTCATGAGACAGAAAATGAAACACAGAATGCCACGCAAAAGTAAAATAATTTTGTTCCTTAGCCTAAAATCTGAAGGGAAAAACAGTGCTATGGCCAAGAATGAAATACTCTAATAAAAAGCTATAGGTACATTCTCTTAAGTGATGACAGCTTTATGTAAAAAATTACAATGCTAAATAATGATTCAATACCTCAACATACTTATGCTAGAAAACTAAAACAAGACAGGAATCTTAGTTACAGTGTTCAGATTCTATAATCATGAATTTATCATAAAACATGTTATTACTGTCTACTGAGCTATTGCAGAAAATGTGTAGATCTTAAAACAAATTATAATCATTGTTTATAGTTTATTATGAATTTCGCGCAAAGCTGCACGAGGGCTATCTGAGCTAGCCGTCCCTAATTTAGCAATGTAAGACAAGAGGGAAGGCAGCTAGTCACCACTACCCACTGCCAACTCTTGGGCTACTCTTTTACCAACGAATAGTGGGATTGACCGTCACATTATAATGCCCCCACGCTGAAAGGGCGAGCATGTTTGGTGTGATGGAGATTCAAACCCGTGATCCACAGATTGCGAGTCAAGCTCCCTAACCACCTGGTCACCTGATTGAGAGTTGTTTTGTTTGCCAGTTCTAAATAGTAAATAAACAGGTTGTTTCAAAATAATGTAAAAACAACAACATTGTATAGAAGATTTGGATGTGGTCAGACATAGAACAACTTTTAGTACCTTAGATTCAACATTAGCTTTTGCTCCATACTCCAGCAATGTGGTAGCAATATCCATCTGGTTCTTTTTGGCTGCCACATGAAGTGGAGTGTAACCATTCTTAGAAGTAGAATGTGGGGATGCTCCCTTATCAAGTAATAGAAGAGCCACATTCACATGATCATAATGTGCTGCAACATGGAGAGGTGTCACACCATTCTAAAATGGAAACAAATTTTGCAAGAATTCTGCTCTAAATATCTTATCATTTAGCATTTTAAAAGTCACTTATATAATTTCAGTGTAACAATCATTTCCAAAATTTCACTTTAATGTCTTAATGATTAATTAAAATAGAAAATCACTGATATAATACATTATGAAAAATACTTAACAAAAACAAAGTTTCAATTTCTTTCCTAAACACTGTGAAGAAAATGTAAGCATTTATGTCTTCTATATTTACCCACATTAATATAAAGATTTTCTTCTCTCAGAAACTAAGATTAATAGGTTATAATACTCTAAAGCTCCTGACTTTTCTTTGAAACTATGAATATAAAAAAAATATGTAATTAATACAAACTATAAAACTCTGAGGATTTTAACTGAAAGTATACTTTTAGTCCTACAAAGCTATTGGTTAAAAACAATTATGCATGTAAGAGTTATGATACGCCATGTTATGAAATACAAAGCAGCCTTAAAACTTATTAGTATTTTTCTAAACAGAATTATGTTTCCCATGATATATTTTTGTTTAAGATTTTAAGGTCACAAAAGATGTATCTTCTCCTTAAGCTCACAGTGGTATTAAATAATATCACAAAGCTATAACAGTTTATGGTTAGAATTTTTCATTTTGGTCATATTAATTATGTAAAACTTCCACCAGAATAACTGCTAAGATTCTATAATAATAATTACAATTAAAAATATATAGTTTTAATTATGAGTAACAGGAAAATTACAAAAATCCTGTATAACCACTCATAAATTATCAATTGGGTACCTTGCAGCTATTGCTTTTTCAGCCCTTCAACCATAAACATCTTATGAGGTTGGGCCTATTTAATGAAATTAACAAGCAATATAATAAGAATTGTCACATGTATCATGCTTATTACATTTGGCCAATGTAGTTATTACTCCTTAAAAAATTTAATGTTAAATGTTAATCTAGCAAATATTATAAATAACTAAAATACACATTGATTTATTTAAATCTAATACTGTAACACATATAAGCCTGTGTATTATCTAGTATGCTGCAAGTTCCAGCTGAATATCCACAGAATAATAACACAGCCAATGTGAATCTATAATTGTCAGTGTATCTGTTCTATATCTACATGTCTCAATGTACCATACATTTGAGGATGGCCTTGCTAAAGAAACACTTGAAGTGTGTGTATGGTGGTGGTGAGGGCCTTATAAAGGAAAAAAACAAATCAAAGGTGACCAGATGTTAAAACAGAAAGACTGGTATTGGCGTATATAATGTCAGGATAAAGAAAGTTATCTATATCCTATAGCAACTGTGTTAATTATGTGATGCATACAGAGTCAATGACCACACTGTGGTAAACAACTAACCCAACATAACTTCTAGTGGGGTTCAATAAAATAAGTATGAAAAGCTATATTATCTAGATTTGAGTATGGATTTATATGTCTAGGCTGAAGAAAGTTATTTATATTCTATATTGACTATGCTAATTATGTGATTTATACTGATTCAATGACCACACCATGGAAAACAATTAACTCAGCACAACTTACATTAGTGTTGAACAAAATATACCTTTGAAAGATGGAATGCTTAGGTTTGCATTAGATTATGTAAGGAAAGGATAAAGAAAATAATGCATAATCCACAGTTATTATTTTAATTTATAAAATCAATCTTCATATTATCCTTACTGAAGATTTTATGAAAAGTGGTGAAATTGTCAATGTTATACACTTTAGTTAAAACAAATTGTACTTACCACAAAACTAAACAAATGTTGTGCATGATTTGTTGAAGAAAAAAAACCTCTACTCAAAAACTTGCGTGTTAGTGTTTGACTTTTCTCTATAAAATCTTCCAAGTTACAACAAATTCTAGCAAATCTAATGAGTTTTGAGAGGGTAAATGTTATGCCATATTTTATCTGGAATGTCTATGTCTGGAAATGAAAAGTTTTAAACTTTAAAGTTAAAGTCTTCTGTTTTATTGCAAAGCTTGAAAGAAAATGTTTGCTTAATAAGATTAATATTGAAATAGAGGCAAAGTGTTTCATTTGTATATGTTGAACTTTGTTTCCAGTACTAGATTATTCAGATAGATGTACTTAACTACTTCAAGAAAATTTAATAGTTTTGGTATTTTGGTACTGCTACATCGTTGATGTTCTGCTAATTTGTAAAGATTTATGTTGGTCTTTCTTGAGACACTGTGTGATGTACTGATGTTCAATATAAAAATAAAAAAAAAAGAAATAAATCTGTTGCTTGGGACTGAAGTTACCACCTACTGGTATGCCCTGTATCTATTTCAAGATGTGAAAGCCAAATCATACAAATGTGTTTTTAAGTAAAACAATTATGGATTGTATGAATTTATTCAGTGTAAAACAGTTATAGTTATTAGAATAAGTATTACCTTAGCAAGTCATTAATTTGCCCACATTTTTGAAAGATCTATTAATTTCAGATTTATATTTTCAATGATTTTATGGTTAGGCTGGTATAAAAGTTCCTGAAACCAAATGTTTAGATAGCTTTAGCTTTGAAAGATTTTAACTTTTATTTGTATGCCATGTAATTTTTTATAAGTGAATACCATTAGCTGGTGAATGAAAGAAAACCATTAGATCTAATGTTTGTGAGTATTCCATTACATGCAAACCTTCCAAAAACACAACTAGTAAGTGGGGTATACAGCTAAGATTTTACAAAATTTTGAATTTTTTATCTGTGTAGCACCTTACCTTTCCTTGAGCATCAACAGGGGCATCTTTCTGTAAAAGGAGACGAGCTACTTTGATATTTCCATACTTGGCAGCCAAATGAAGAGGAGTAAATCCTTTCTATTAAATTAAAAAAAAAGGAAAATAAATAAAAACTGTTCTGGATATTTTGAAAGTTATATATTCTTCACAAAAACTATTATTCCTTGTTTATTACTATTTTAATATTAAAATTGTACTGAGATTTTAAGATTTCATACATTGATTAAAAAATTTTTAATATCTACATTAGGTTTTTGAAATTATAAATAACAATGTTTATGACCATGAAATTATTTGACTTCCTGAAACAATAGCTACTAATAAGAAATAATTTTAGAAATTACTTAGGTTTAAAAACAAGCAACTTGAATATATTTTCTATACAAGACCAAACTTAACATAAAATGGTGAGAATGAAATGAAGCTAAATGAACATCAAAACAATTTAACTATTATGCCATAGATTTCTATATGAGATGCTAGACAAAAATGTAATCGCGTTTTCTACTTTCACAGAATTTAAAATCTATTTCATTTTCAATTTACGATTATGCTGTAGCTGGTGTTTTATATTACACATAATTCTAAAATATCATTAAATATGAAAGTCTTCAAACCTTGGTAGTAACAGTAGTAGAGGCTCCATGTTCTACAAGTACAGAAGCCACTTCTTCCTGACCTTCTTTAGCAGCAATATGAAGAGAGGTGTACATGTCATTAGTTGTTGCATCAACTGCTGCACCATGTTGTAATAAGAGACCAACAATATCTACATTCCCAAGTCTGGCTGCAATATGTAGAGGAGTTTGTTGTTCCTATGGTTGAGCCAAAGAAAACACAGGAATCTATCAGTCTGGTCACTTGTCTTGCACAGGCTACATACTCACTCTACCAAATTACTATAAACTAATAGGAATCACCATTATATGAGTACAGAAACACTGGGTTATGGTTGTCTGTTTTATTGGAATTTGGAATAATATTACACAGAAGGTTCAATTTTTAAGCGTGACTGTAAATATTCTATATCTTTAATAATTAACATTTCATTATTATTGTGATTGTAATATATTAAAACAAACAAGGAAAAATCCACAAGTATCTAAAGTCTAAAAGTTGAGTATTATCTAAATTACAAAAGTTGAATACATTAAGCAATGTTTTTCATGTTAATATGAAAGTAGTAATGTAATTATACATTTTACTAGTATTTTATTACTTAAGACAGTTGGATCATATTTTATTATTTAAGACAGTTGGATCATATTTTATTACTTAAGACAGTTGGATCATATTTTATTATTTAAGACAGTTGGATCATATTTTATTATTTAAGACAGTTGGATCATATTTTATTGTTTAAGACAGTTGGATCATACTTTATTACTTAAGGTAGTTGGATTATATTTTATTACTTAAGGCATGCTAAAATGGTAAAAACATAATTTTTCCAAAAAATACTCTGTACAGTACTTATAAACACAAAACATAAATGAGAGGATGAAGGACAATTTATGACACTACAAAATTCTCCCTTTAACTCAATGTCATACTAATATCAATAACAACACACAAAATCAATTAAAGCATTAAAGACATTTTAGTATCTAAAAGTCTTTCTTAATGAAATTTACCCTGGCTCGTGCGTCAACCTGAGCTCCGTTACGCAACAAAATACGAATTATGTCAGTTTGGTGTGCTCGAGCGGCCAAATGTAGTGGTGTTTCCCCTCGAACAGTTGGAATATCTGGATTTGTTCCATTTTGTATCAAATAAACAACAATATTCATACATCCCATGAAGGCAGCTACATGAAGTGGAGTCAGACCAGACTGAAAAATTCAATGTTACCAAAGTTCAAATTAGCAAACTAACAAAATACATATATCAATACAGCATAGTTGATAAACACCTCTTAAATAACAGGTCCATCTTTACAATAAGTAATAAACAGTGAGTTTACATTAGCTCTAAATACATCTATTCTCTTTCTTTTTTCTCTCTCTGTATATAGACTTTTTTGAGTGAAAGGGTTATAAGTTAGGCCTACAGAGACTTGTGACAATGGTTTGCTATGGTGTTAGGCCAGTACTTAAGCTAACTTTTTAGAAAGTATATATTTTCTTTTTATACAGGATTCAGAGTGTGTTTTCAACATGTGGATTGAGTTTACAATTGACTTCTCTTGAGTTTGAGATGTTTCAAGCTCCATCTTGAGTTCTCTGTTAGGCTGGTGAAAGACTCAACGTGGAACTCAAAATATCCTAACAAATTCAAGGAAAAACAGCAAAAGTCCCTAGTAAACTCAATCCACAACTCCTAAGTTTTACATAGTGAAACCAGAGATACATTAAAGTATCTCCCATGATTTTCATTTTGCTTCATTCTTCTGTTGTTTGAATAATGTAAAAATAAAATATTTGTATCAAACCTAACTTTCCATTTACTACACAAAAAAGCAATAGAAAAAATTACTGTATTTTTTCATTTACTTATTATACTTCTAGTTACGTATTATGCTCTTTAGTTCTTGATAGGTTTTCCTTTGCTTCTTCTCAAACCAAGGTAAACAAGTCAACCAATTAGCTAATTATGTGTGAATTTTGTTACATAATATGATTTTGATATAGTTCATAACAATAATTAATATATATAAAAACTTATCTAATTAATGTGAAACACAAATTTATGATGAACTAAAAGCATTTTATCTCATTTACATAGATTTTTACTCATCTAAATATTAGTGTGTGTGTGTGTGTAATCACAAACATAATTTTGATATTAATTTTCCTACACAAGCTAAATGAACAGAAATCAAATTCTGATGCATAATGTAGTGCAATGCTATATCAAAAAGGATAACACTGAAAACAAATAAGATAAGACTTATACAATGCTTTAACATCTAAAATTCAAACTGCTGATGTGATTTTAGTATTTATTCATTGTTCAAAACAAACACCATATTTACTTGTATTAATATTAACTCTAATCCACAGCCAGTTTACTCCCCTAATATGCTATGCAAATTCTAATGACTAGTCAGCAAAACTTATACCTCTGTTGTAGCTTCAATGGATGCTCCATGTTTAAGAAGAAGTTCTACAACTTTCATTCTATTCTTTTTACAAGCGATATGTAAAGGTGTAAACCCATTCAGGGCTCTGGCATTTGGGTCAGCTTTACGATCGAGCAGCAACTTTGCAACCCTCACGTGGCCACAATGAGCGGCTACATGCAAGGCTGTCAAGTAATCCTGTGAAAAAAAAAATCATGCATTACTATTTAGAATCTAAATTGTCAATTTACATAAAACTGCAATATTAATGCAAAAGACATATAATGTCAGTGCATTTTACAGTAACAAAAGATGTCTAAAAGAAGTAAAAATACTGTGTTGTTCGAAGTGAAGTATAAAAAAGTGTTCTTTTATTTTGTGTAAAAATAAGAAAAATCGCTAGTTGCATTTGACATTCAATAAAAACAGCGGCAATCCTAGTGTTAGCATTAACAAGAATAAATACAGATGTCACTCCACTGTGCTCTAAATGTTCCCAATTCAAGATTATTTATTATGTTAAAATTGTGTACTTACCACAGTTACATCATCTACAGGTACCTTGTGGTAAAGTAAGATTCTGGCACTATCTACATGGTCACCTTGAGCAGCCATGTGTAAGGGTGCAAGACCATTCTGTAAAAAAACAGAAATAAACCATATACTAGAAGGTCACTGAAAATATCACATACATCAAACCCTCAAATAAACTTTCACAAAACTGACCCAATAAACCAAAAAACCATACACTCTAAATAATGTCTATTATCTATAGTATTACAAGCTGAGAGATGAGATTTAAATTTCTACACCAAATTTTCACGATATACCAGCAAAGTGAAATGCATAAAGTTTAAAACTGACCAACATTTTCACAAACTTAATTTTTGCATTGACAATTTTGTAGCAATGTTTATGATTAAAAGTATAAGTTAAATGTATAGGTTTTTAAAGGTTTTTGGTATACTTTAAGCAATAATAAAAGAAATAAAGGATATACAATGTGTATATTACCCAAACTTAAATAAGCAAAACTCTATTTTTGAATATTACCTTTGTTTTTGCTGTAATAGGGGCCCCTCTTTCCACAAGCATATCAACAACTTGGTCATGACCACTTCGAGCAGCACAGTGTAAAGGAGTTAATCCATCCTGAAAATAAAATGTTTACATATAACAGAAGAAATGATTATTATATACCAAAGTAATTCCAGATATTTGATAAAAACATAGAAGTTCATACCTTAAATAATTTCAGACTAAAATGGACATATTAACTTATGCAATAGTTAAGGAAAACTGATTATCAGGAAGAAACAGCCACTGAAAATAACATAAAGTTCTCTGGAAAATAAAATTTTCTAATAAAATGGAGTTTTGATTTCAAATCTCTCTCTCTCTCTTTACAGTTACTATTAAATATATTCATACATACATGTACATACAACATATATTCACATACCAATGAACATGTTAATTTATTAAATTGACTGAATTGTGCATATATGAAAGTTAAATCTTACCCTAGTAGCAGCATCAATTTTGGCCCCTTTATCAATAAGCAGGGTCACCATATTTGTTTTACCCCATTTTGATGCAACATGTAAGGGAGTTATTTGATGCTGTAAAGCAAAACATTTAAAAATTATTATAATTATATTCATTTATCTTGAGCCAATGACAAAATTACATACAAATATCTTAAGTCAATGAAATAATTATATTTAAACTACCACGAATCAATAAAAAGCTTTAACCAATATTAAGTACCATAGAAATAATACAGATTTACTTTTAGAGGTATTTTAGAATCACAGTTGTAGGTTCATAAGAATTTTTTTCAACAGACTAAGCCTTTCATTCATAATACATTTCAATAGAAAATCTCATAAGTAGTTATAATACAATAAACTCACTATCTACCATATACATATATAGTTATAAAAAGAAACAGCATTTTTTACTTTATACATGTAAATTTAATAAATCATTTGAAATTCTAACCTCAAATTAACTATTTACTTTTGGTATTATGACTTCAGCAATCATTCATCTTAACTCAATCCACCTGTTGTCAAGATTACAAATACAAATATACAATTATTAAGTTAAGCTTCCCTAATGAAAGATCATTCAACACATTGGCTAGGAATACAATAGTTCTTGGATTTCATACCGAGTCCTATATTTTGTACAAAAACTAAAATATGTACATACAATATATTTTGAACACACACATATCAAAACTAGAACTTACTTTGGCCAAAAAATTAACATCAGCTCCTTTTTCCAATAAAACCAAGGCCATATTCTCATTTCCATAATGAGCTGATATATGAAGAGGGGTAAAACCACTCTACAGCCAAGAATAACAAAATGTTAAAAATTACAATGCACAAACTTAGTAAATATCCTATATAGATACAAATAATATCCCATCATTTTAAATAAAAACATTCAATTTAACATATTTTAAAGGATATATCAAATATCAGAAATTGTTTTTAAATGCAAAACACAATAGAACGGGTTTTTAGAGAAGTGCTGTGAATAAAAATAGATATAAAATGGATCTAAAAATAAATGTGATAGGTAACAAAACAACTGAACTTTTTAAGTTATCAGCATTTTAGGTTATATCTATAGAAATATTGAATACCAGTTAATTAGGTTATAATTATTTGTATAGGTCACTAGTTAGGCCACATTTGGAGTATTGTGTTCAGTCTTGGGCTCCTTACCCTAGGAAGGACACTGAATTGTTTGAAAGAATTCTGAAAAGGGTTACTAGAATGGTGCCTAGGGTGGAGAGATTTTCATATGAGGAGAGATTAAGATCTCTGAAATTGTTTTCTCTTGAAAAAAGAAAAGTTAGAGGGGGATCTGATTAAGGTGTTTAGGATTGTAAAGGGAATTGATAGTGTTAATGCATCATCTTTTTCATACTTGATGGCAAGAATAGTAGGACTAGGGGACAAAAATATAACTTTTGGCAAGGTAGGAGTCATCACCAGCTAAGACAGTTATATTTTTCTAAAAGGGTGGTTGGCCTCTAGAATGGGCTGACTTTGGATACTGTGGAAGCAGTAAATTTAAGTGAGTTTAAGATAAAGCTTGATAACTATATGAATGATAAAGGCTAGCTTTAATTATTATTTTTTTAAATTTATTTAGTTAATAGTTTTAGTTTAGTTTAGAAGATGGGACAGTTGAGATGGACCAATAGGTCCTATGTTGTCCCTAAACATTATGTTATGTTATTCCTCAACGACATACTTACTTTTATATCTGTTTAAATTAATGATTTTTTTGGCTACATACACAAGCCCATTTAGCTTCACACCAAACTTGGTAACTTCATGTACTCTTTTATTGTTTTATATTGATTTTTAAGTTTCAGTTTTTTGTTAGTAGACTGCCGTACAATTATAATTTAATTTAAGAATTATACTTTTATCATTTCAATTATTTTCATCAAGCAAACAAACACAAAGATGTCATACAAAGTAAGAGTTAATTGTGATCCAAGACAAAAGTATATTTGAAAGACCTCCGTAAACATAATAATTATGGTACATGGATGTGAATTCTCCATTAAATTGCAATACTAAAATTTATGTAGCAATCTATAAGATCATTGGGTCAATTCAATAAATTAGATAAAGGCTCCACAAAGGTTTGTCAACTTGATAAAAAAAAGGAAACCTGTTACTTTACTCTTAAATTTTTTTGTTCAGGAAACTAGATGTACTTCCACAGGGTCCCCAGAAGTGTTCTGTTTCAAAAGTAAATAAAACCAAAATTAACAGTACAGTAACAAATACTTTTATTTCTTGCTTTTGAAATTCATATGTCATTCTGTGTTGTTGCCTACAGAGTGCATAATGTTTCTCATGATTCATGGCATGCACACACGTTACTGACATCACGACAGTATAAATTGCAACTTTAAGCATCCCTTATGTGACAACATTTTAGTGTCTGCTATCTTACTGATAGACAACACACCACTGTATAGAGGTTAAAACAGGTGATCCCTCCAAATGGCCTTCAGCCTCATTTTACACTTATACCAACTATTGTTTTCTTGTCTAGTACAAAGAATGCTTCATTGAATAAATTAGCACTCTTATAAAGTAGTATTGTAATGAATTAGGTAAATGTGAAATACTACATCATTGTTATGTAGTTTACCTTTGATGTAACATCAGGGTTGTGGTCATTCTGAAGCAGCAACGCAGCAGCTTTACAATCATCCTTCTTGGCTGCAATGTGAAGAGCAGGAAGGCGTACTTTTCCTATGGTATCATTTTCCAATAGAACAGAAACTACCTTGTTATGACCCTGCTGAAGAGCTACTGCTAAAGGAGTGAAACCATCCTAGGGTATGACAGCAAAAATTTTTAGTTAACATCAGTCTATTCTTCTTTTAATAGCATTATAATTTCTCCTCATGCAATACTTTAATTTTATTATACAAAAATATGTATACACCCAGGTATGTTATTAACCAAATAACAATATTTGTAATATTGCAAGTCTAACCGGCTGATCTAATATACAAAACTAGCATGAGTAAGATAAATATATATATATATGTGTGTACAACCAACATGTGATACACTACCATATAGAATTATTCAGTAAAACTCTTCTTAACAATAACATGATAGTAATATAATACTACTACTATTGGTAGTAGAGCGGTAACATATCGATACTGTCGTGACACTAGTAGTAGTAGTAGTAATAGAACTGCAGAAGTGTATTACTATTACTAGTATTAGCCTATGCTATTTTATTTTTTGATGACGTGTCACATATGACATAATTAAACTTACCCGATTTTGCAGTTCGTGAAAATAAAAAGATTGCTAGTAATAAAATCAGCACGAAAAATAACAAAAAACATTGATCTTACTAAAAACCAGTGGAATTTACACAACCGAATGAACTTTCTGAACATTGAACAATTAAAAATAGGCCTACCGCAAAATTGGTAATGCCACAGCAGTTTCTGAATTTATGCCTTTATTCAATTCGAATGTTATTATACAAAAACATCAACACATGAAGAGTATTTTTTCATTATTATTATTATTACGTAAAAGTCCAAAAATTATTATAAACTGTGCACTAGTTAAAATATTATTTTACAACATTTCCTGCTATTACAGTGTCGGCATGTCCCACTGATGATTTAAAAATTAAGACACTCGTATTTTTATTATAATAATCTAAGAAGTATTAATCGATGTTCACAGAGTAGCTCTTACGTATAGTATAAGTCTATGATTACCTTTATACTTTAGCTCTTACGTATAGTATAAGTCTATGATTACCTTTATACATACATTTGAGAGCTTAACTTAAGCATAGCAAGACTTTAAATTTGTTTGTTGTTAAGCGCAAAACTGCACAATTGGTTATTTATGTGTTGCCCATCACGGGTATCGAAACCCAATTTTTACTATTATAAACCTTCATACTTACTGCTGAGAAACGTGAGGGCAAATATTTTAAAACAGTGTAGGAATGTAAAAAACTATGTACACCAATCTCGTATAATTTTCAGTAATTATTTTTTTTTATTATCCAAATCATATTTAAAAAGAAGCAATATTATCAAGGATTAAGTTGCTGGAAAATTGTGACCACGTTAAAAAAATGTTTTATTCATTTTCCAGTTTACATCGTGTAACAAACAAGAGGGAATCCTCAATAGCCGTGGCCCTTGAAATTCTTTTAGGCAGGATTAGAGTAAATTTACCTATGAGACCTTGGGCGAGGTAACATGCATCTAACGAAAGGTTTTGACCTCCTGAGTCCAAAACTGTAATTAGATCTCAAATCGGTCAAGAGATGATGGAGCTATGAGCTAAAAGTTTATACTTGAAAAAAAGTAAACTCTGAGCCAGTCTATGCTGCGGCTAAAATACTATTACTGATACAAAAAAGTAAAACACTTTTTTTTTGTTTTGTTTTGTTTTGAAATAATTTCAGTAGTTAGTAGATATATATATAGCTATGTTTAAAAATGTTAAAATAGTAAAACTTGTTAAACATATGAAAGAGTAATAAAATCAAGAATATAATATGTTGGGTAGATATTTTAGTGTTTGAACTCAGGCAAGGTTCAAATTGAAAAAAAAAAGGAATAACAGCATTCCTCCGAGGATAAAATACAAAAAAACCGCAGTAGAGTGTCTTTAGAATTGTAAAAATCTTATTATTGAACCTAATTATCAGTTTTTACTGATTTTAATCAGATTTAAACTACAAAAAATCAAGTAACTATCATCAGTTTTTTACAGTCCTTCATTTTTCTATTTATTTGGTGAAATTAAATATATTTAATTTCAAGTTAATCAGCTTGACAGTTCATTTCATATTTCTTTGGAGTTACCATGATAATGAAGAGACAAGTTTGTGGTTTAGGTTTTTAAAATAGAATGTTTATGTAGCGCTAGTCTAGGATAATCTATATATCTAGTAAGGAAAAATTAAATCCCTATTACAAATAACAATAAACCACAAAGTGTGCATTTTGATATCTAATCATAATAACTGTTGTTTCTTGAGAGCATACATTGACCTAAAGATATGTATAATTATTACTTCAAACGTTACTGTTCAAAAACCCAAGCTAGCGAAGAATTAGTCACTTTTAAGTATTATATTGTATAAACTTTTGTTTCTCATCTTCCATTCCAACTGAAAAGTTCTGGTATTGACCGAAAATCCCTTTAGGTAGTGACTTGTAGGAGACAAAAGATAGATCTGAAATGTTCGTTTTACACTCCTCTGAGTCTGTATCCGAATTAGACAAAGTAAGAGATGTCTGCATTTTGCGTGAGTTTTAATATAAAAAACACAAAACCTTAAAATGAATACATCTAATTTGTACTCACCTCTGTAGAAAGGCTTTGGTTTGCTCCATTTGACAATAGAAAGCGAACGACATTGTCATGGTTTTCTTGAGCAGCCATATACAAAGGAGTGAAACCATTTTGGGACTGCACATTGACGTTGGCGCCATTTTGTACTAGAATCTTTACAACTGGTTCCTGGCCTGCGAGAGATGCTATGTGTAAGGCAGTGTTTCCTTTCTGAAACGTAAAGTTTTGAAAATTAATTAGTAATCACGTTCATGTGAAGATAATGTTGGTTTATTGATACATAAGTATTATATAAACCTGGAAGTAACTTCAAGTAAGTGATTAAGGTCATATAACTTAATAGGTTGCCCCCCAGTGTCTGTGGATTTATACCACTAGAAACCGGGTTTCTATACCCTTTGTGTAGCTTTGTGCTTAATAACAAACAACAACAACTTAATAGGTTTCTGATAAGCGTATCTGTACTTGAAAGTCATACATAAATTTAATATGTGAAATACTCTGTCTGTGTTTTATTTATATTCAAATTTGAAAACATTTTGTAAAATCAAATATGACAGTGTGCGTGAAAGTTAGGAAAATATAATTATGTTTTATTTGCTTCTGATGAAATAAGGTATTTTGTTATTTCAATCTGGACAGCACTTTATGCGACACATGGTGTCACAGTCAAGTCAGAGACCCCAAGGTTCATATACAACTGTCCCTTATTTAGAATTTGTTGATTAGATGGGGACTAGTCAATCGATAACTCGCATACAGCTGGAAATGCAGTGCGTTTTCACCTGTATATCGTAGGTCTGAGCCTTAGTCCTTTAGATATGCATCGCGGCACGTTAAACCTGAAATAAGAAATATATACATGTATATCGATTAATATTAAATCTAAACATTTTTCAGTCATTTCCACACGATATCAAAATCCCACAGTAAGTTTTTCAGAAAATTATAATGAAATACCTTGTCTACTGTGGCTACAGGTAAGTCCGACCATTAAAAGGTTTAGAGTATGGTGTCATGATCAATCCTACACTCTGAGAAAACAATCTAAGTTTGTGATACGTCAAAATTTAACTCGACTTTCAATATCTAGAGACCCTATCCGAATGAAAATATATATTTCAGCTATATCGTGTACCAGATTTTCAGAGATTTGATTAATATCTAATGATAGGTAGTATTCTACTAACTAAAGGTATAAGGTGTCAAGCCGAATAATTTATCATTCTGCATAACTTCTACTCGAGTGGCAGGGGACTTAAAGTGCTAAGAGACATTTATATAATTTTATTTATGGTTACTTTAATAGTGCAAGATGTATAGCATGTGCTAAACTTCATATGTGATTATTTTAAGATCGCCCTTTTCGCTTAACTGTGATGCACGATCCAAATTTTTGAATCACTCGTACTGGGACTTGTCCAACAGAAATAAGCTATCAGTTATCATCGCGGTTGGTGTTTATGTATTTTGTATTCATGGCAAAAACTACTAAGGCTAACTGCGCCGTGCTTAATTTGAACCACTGACCAGAACGAAGGAAGCCAGTCAGTATCACTTTATCACCCATCATCCACGCTTATAACGCATCCACAACTTAAAGTGCAAGGAATATTTTGTGGTATTGCATGAATTCGAACACAGTTCACCAGATGCGAAATCCAAAGCTCTACCACAAGGCCAACCCGTGCTTATATGTATGATATCATTGTTACATCTCGACACTCTAGGTTTACACAATCGTGTTTAAACCTCCACTTCAGTTCACATAACTAAACAGTGCATTTATCTTTGGTTCACAGAAACCAAGAAACGGTAAAATGATAAAAACATAATAAAGGACTTCCTATGTCGTTTACACTGTAACATAATTACTTTTAAGTATTTATATCCGATCCATGTAAACTACAATATTTCTTGTAACAAAAAACTTTTATTTCACGTTTGCTTCCGATGGCTCAGTGATAAGATTGAGAACTTATAACGCTAAAATTCTGATTTTCTCCTCTCGGTTGGTACAGCACAGGGAGCCAACGGTGTAGCTTTGTGCTTAATAATAAATTTATTGCTCTTAAGTATGAACACAACGCCATTTTTTTATTTAAAGAAACATAATTAATCAAGCATGCTTTATTTTTTATTTCGTTTAATAAGTTCAAGTTTTAATCTTCAAGAGTTTCTTGTCTGTTTTTTAAGCATTTCTAAGTTATCTTAACTAGCAGGAAAATCCTCGCTTCAAAGAACCGATCAATAGCCTGACATTTAAGTCATAATACAAGCGCTTTATATAATATACATAATACCAGGTAGAAGTATTGAAATGGAAAGAACTCTTCGTAAGCTTAGAGAATTAAATTCAATATGTATGTTGCAATGGCGTGGAAAAGCTTAGACAAAAAAGTACTTTAAACTATTTTATACTGGTATCATTCCAGATTTCGATTAATTAAGAGTTATTACAACAATTATATACACAAAAATGACACAAAAGCAATTTCACTGCCTCTTCGGTCTCATTTTGTGACAATATTATGCTTGTTTAAACCTATATTGAGGATTAACTGTTCCAATCCATGCTGTCCTTGAAATTTCTTATTCATCGACGAAAATTTTTAATCTTATGGTCATGAATACGCATTATTGTCGCAGTTTCTAATGTAATAAGCTCCTATATGGTTCAGTGTTTGATAATACATTTTATAATCTTTTCATGGACTCTCCACTGAAAGATGGCGTTCGCTTTTAAGACCACGTTTAAGAAAATCAAAGGCACAAAAGTTCATTGGCTACTTTGAATAATTTGATAGATGTGTGGTTAATTAGGATTGTTGTGGTGATTCTTTAATCTTTCCTATTTTTTTCTTAACAACCCCAGGATTAATGTAGTCATCTTGTCCCAAGTTGTTTCCATCTAGTAGCTGTTCAGGGTGAGGAATACTGCTTACATATTCATCAGCAAAAATTGAAGAAAAAGTAGAAGTTAATAACTCAGCCATCTCATAATCATCAGCAATGAGTTTTCCTTTGTCATCCCACATCTTTCTCATGAAAACAGTAGTAGATTTCGAGGTGTGGCTGGAAGCTTGTCAGTCATCACCAACTTCAATCTCTTGTTTATTATTTTGCTAACGGTACGAGGAGACAAATCCCGATCTATCGCAATGGCTATTTGACTCTGTGGGTTACTTTTTATAACTATAGCCTTTACTTTGTGGAACAAAGCAAACAGCTTCAGAGCTTGTTGCTATTCCACAATTCCAAAAGCGTTACCGTACAAAGGTTTCCGCTTCTAAGGAGAAAAATTAAGGCTCCCTTCTTGAAATGCTGTGGCATTTGGTTCTACATCATTCAGCAATCTCGCTGTAGAAATATTCTATCTTGGTAAGGGCTGCGACACAGTCTCCTTCCACGAGTCTATATTGGATAGCATTGCACTGTCGATTAATGAAGAATTCGCCATGAAACAAACGTATAGGTGTTAAACATGTAGCCTGTGGTGCAATGGTTTGCATCTGCGAGAACACGCCATTGTATCAGCATATTTCAAATTTAAATTGTTCGTATAAATGCAATTAACCTTCTGTGTGATTTGTTAGCAATTCTTAGCTGCATGCAACTGCAATGTTTCGTATATCTAATGTTTTAAGTTCTAAATATAATTTTAAAATTTAAAGTTGTTGTTCGTGTTTACTCTATTTCGGTCCTTTCTTATCGTCACGTCTTCATTACATTAAAGTAACACAACAAAACTCATAGATTGAATAGTTGAAAAAATATTATAAATGTGTAAGTTTGAAAGTCCAAAACTTCAATGTGAGAAAGGGGAAGGTATGAGTTTTATAGAAGACACAAATCTTCAATGGAGGCAAACTCTTATTAGTGCTGTCTAACAACATATACATCCATAACTGTTATATACTGTTCGTTGCTTATCAATAATGTATAATTATACTTGTCATAAGACTCGAGCTTATTATATATTTTAACAATATATTATTTATTCAGTCATTTAAGATTTTTCAAGAAAAAGAATAGTGTGTACTAGTTTTTCAATCACAACCATTCATTGTCAACGACGCGTGCCACTCAATATAGCTATCTAATTAATGAATATTTGCTGTAAAATTCTTATTGGTGCTATAAGTGTAGCTGCCAGTTTGGCCGCCAATTTTGATTTCATTCCTTTAAGTCGCACGCTGAATAATCCTTTTTTGGCAGAACCTATTTTTCACAACTAAAGTGTTTTTGATTAGATATCATGACATTTTGTCCATACACACATACAAACCACAGCAAATATGGAAGTGACACTCGATAGTAACTAACATTAGCTTAAGGATCGCAACCCTATTATTCGGAACAGGCCTATACTTTACAGAACCGACCAGATTCTTTAAAATATATGGTGGTTAATTAACTTCCTTTATCGGAACGCCATGGAATCTAGATTAATAGTTTCTTGTTATCATCCACATGCACTCGGTGGAGCTATAATAAAAATTTCCGACCGATAGCTCACGTGCCTTTTGAGCGGTTTTATTTGAATAACCTTGCACACGTGGTTTATACTTAGACCAAATTTGACATCTAATTGTAGGCTGTAAAGATCTATCAGTGTACAACTTTGAAAATAAAATCATAAAAGTTAAGTATGTTTTACTATTAAATAAAGTTTTCGTACTTTCGATGCGAAGAAAAAGGGAGAAATTCAATAAAAATTGGAGATTTTTATATCTCGTGTAATCCTTAATGGATTGCCTTGAAATGTGATATGTGAAGTAAGGGTCCAGTAGAGAACAGTAACTGAAAATATATGATAGTTTGCATTACCACAGTCCGAGCTACAGAAAGTAGAAATTTGCTAAACTATCACTTCTATTAATATCACACAGCACATGTGTCCTGCAGGTTGTATTGGCTGCAAGTCACACTACCGTTTTTTTTTATTACAGAATATATAACCTCCAACTACAGCGTCTTGATCTGTATTTTAAAGTCTGGAGAAAAACATTATGTCAGTATAACTAAATATTTTATTTTTATTTTGAACAAAATGTTTTTTTTTATTTAAATCTCAAGATATACAGCTTCTAGAATACACGCCATTAACGACTAGCCTTAAAACGTACGTAATAAGTTCATTTTCACAGTCTTACTTTCAACAGAAACATATTTATGTAGTATTTTCTTTAAGAAACAATTATTAATTTTCTGTTTACAGTTTTGAGTTCATAAAATAGTTTATAAGGGCATCAAACTACGTATCAAAAGGACTGGTATCAATTGCTTGTATTAAATTGCTATTATTGTATATATATAATATATTCACAAAACGTAACAAATGCCAAATAATACAATTTAAAGCTATAATAAACAGAAAGTTGCCATAGAAACTGTTAGTTCCAGCTGTAATAAAAATCATTTTGTTAATTATCTTTAATTTTCAGTTGCAGTGAACCTACTATCATTTAAATAATTACTATTTTACTATATTACGCAGATAACGATAACCAAACTGTTCACAGTTATAAGGAACACATTTTGCATTAAAGACCAGATTTCTTAGGTAAAAAAACCAACCTTAGTTGCTGCATTGACGTTGGCTCCTCTCTTCAACAGCTCTGCAACTACATGTTCATGTCCTTCTTTAGACGCCAAATGCAAGGCATTCAGTCCATTCTGTACAAATGATTGTGTTTATGAAAACTGGGCGTGTTAAGGAGGCAAAAATAATTTCAGTCGTTATCGAGAGTGACATTTTCACAATAAAACTTTAAAAGGAAGAATAACGTTATGCTCTAGACATTTCGCATGTCAGTGATTAACGTGTTTATCACGTGTGTTGTTATGGTGAAGTATTGTGTTTACTGCTGTAAGCCAATGAACCATTAGCAGGAGGCGAGATGTTCTGAGCCTCTGATGCACCAATACAATTCAGTATAATATTATTAATTTATAATTAGTTCTCTTTAATTCAATATCGGACATAAATATAACTGAGTGTTTCAAGTGATTATATACACACATCTCACTAACTATTGGTATTATATTAAAGATATTACACTGTTGACTTCTTTCAATATAAATACGGGTAATAAACACAATTAATACTTATATTTCGTGTCCATTTTATACTTGTACCATTGTTTCTTATTCACTAATAGTAAACTATTTAGAAACAAAAAACTCCGTATTAAATGCCCACTGAAGAGTTAGGTTCACAACCTGCTCTGTTTTCACAATTGCAACTCATTTAAATGATAATAAACTTACCCTCTCCTCTAAAAATCTACGAATTAGAGAAATCCAAGTTAACTAGAGTTAACTGATACGTACAATCGTATCTCGAAATGAAAAAAAAATGATTTCATTAACGTAAGTTCAAAAAAGTAAGTAACTTAGTTAACAACATTAGTGCCACATATTTTGATTCTTTTCAAACTTTGTTTACGTATGTTTGTAATGATAATTGATTCACAACTATCATATTCAGCTGCATCTTTCCAGTTGAATAAAAATAAGACACGTAGGTAGCACATGACTGTACTCAAATGATAAAGAATTATCAAAGGTGCACACAAAGATAGGCTTGACAAGTAATACTATACACGAGGGCGTGGTATGGGCATGCTTCCACTAATCTGAACCGTACGACATGCACCATTCGTCCGATGCAAAGGCATCTGTGCTACACGCAGCATTAGCCGTCGTTTTCGTTTGGTACCGGTTTCATGAATTTTGCTTCCACTCAGTTGTATTGTACCCATATTCGTGAGATTAAGGCTATAAAATTAAACCGGCTGACAAACTCGAACCGTTCATCCGATTGCTTATCCATTTAAACTTCGTCTTTCTCTTTTTTCTTTTTTTTTGGGGGGGGGGGCTAACCTGAGTTCCTCTACCAGATTTCATCAAAATTAAATTCTTCCAGTCAATTCCTTGTCACACCGGACAGACAAATGCACAGCTCTTCTTTATATAAATGTATATATTTCAACTGAAGATAATAGTATTGAAAATATATCCTTCTGAATCCTGTTATCTTGCAGAGTGATCCCTACAAGTGAGCTCATCCCATTCAAAAATATATTATTGCTAAACCCCGGAAGCAATAGAGCTGAGATCCTGTTAGAGATTCGGTTATCTTGCAGGTTGAGCCCACACAAATCAACTGGGTTGTGAGCTAATCTTAGCGAAATCAATTGGGTTATAAAGTTATAGCATATAAATAAAAGAAATTCCACAGAACTGGATTAAATATAGATAGCTAATTTTTATGACACAAGTTTCTTGGTCACTTACAGCGTTACTTGTATTGATATCGATACTGCCTTTCAAATACTCCAACAGTTTTTCAAGGTTTCCTGCTCTCGCTGCTCGTAAAAAACTGGCGTTTCCATCCGTCTATACAAATGAAAAGAAAAAAAAGATAAACTTCCATTATCATAAGTATTTTATAATAAAAATGTAAACGTTTCCTCTTTCTTGAACCTACGGCCACGTGGATTAATCAGGAAAATTATGCATCCAATTTATAAGGTTGCATAATGTAATATTATTTTTGCACTTCTCCCCCCCAAAAAAAAACATACTCCAAAAAATCTTAAATTAGATATATGGAAGAATCTCTTTTTGTAAGACATAAAAATGTATTTGACAGCTATTAACTAACTGGTTGTTTTCAATAACGAAGCGTGGTAAAACTGGAAATGTATATGCACATGTTCGACATAACACATCTTATGAAAATCGAATTTGTGTTTAAATTAACATTATAGGAAAAAAAGACATTAAACAACACACTAATATTATACATTTTTCAAACTTTGGTGATTCTATCAAACATATATGTTTCTGAGGAAAACATCTGAATAAAGACATTTCTTGGAAAAATTATAGATATTTCCTAGGAAAACAGCAGAGTACGGATATTTGAACATATGAACTTTAATATTTCCTTGGAATTTATCTGAATGTAGATTTTTCTCGGGCGATGTCCAAGTATGGATATTTCTCAGCATGTTAAACTTATTCATACCTATAGTTAATCAAGCTACGTATGTTAACATGTAAACAATCTAAGAGTAAATACTCACTCGCAGGATTCTTGTGGTTTATATTCGAATTACGGTGGGTTTTTTACATAAAGGTTTAAAAGATGCACATAATTAATTTTCAAGAATTATTTGAGGTTCTTTTGCCAGCTTCGAAATCCATAGTTCTATTACAGGTGCAACCCGTAGACTCCGGTGGAGGGTGATTTCAGAAAAAAACATCTTATAAGCAGGGGCGGTCTTAGTTATTCTGGAGCCCCGGGCAGAATTCAGTAAATGGGGCCACATAATGATAAGAAAACTAAGTAATCAAACTTTAAATGTAGAACATATGCTCTGAGATGAAAAACAAATTAATTGATACATTAATCGTATTCATATTGGAAGAAATCATCGTGAAAACACACACACTACATTCACAGAAGTAGATTAAAAGGCATAGCATCGGGGGCCCTTCCCTGTGTGGGGCCCCGAGCAATTGCCCAGTTTGCCAAATAAGTAAGACCGCCTATCCTTATAAGTCACTGATTTCCAGTCCTTTAGTGTATTTAAATGCGCCAAATAACGTGCAGAACTATCGTTGTTTTAGTTGATGATGTGGTAAAGCCGTAAGGCAAAGGATTCTGAAGGGAGATAAATACACTTCAATACACTTCATATGTAAAGTGTTTTCGAGAAAACGAAAGGAAAACGTGAGCACGACCCAGTATCCAAGGTGTAGTGGTTTTGTGTGAGCGGGCTCAAACAAAGGCGTCAGAAAGCGTGGTTTTGCTTCTTGTTCAAACAATGGTTACGTTAGTTCCCACATGTGGCAATAGTCTGAACGATTCCCTTGAGAAACCTCTTCTTACAAAGTTGGCTAAGGAGGAGTGCAGAATAAGAATAAACAAAATGACGTCTTTTGTCCAAGCAGATTTTACATAATGAAATATATCTTGAAAGTCTAAGAGTCTGTTTGAATTAAGTTCATGCACAGTATTTCCAGTGTTAAAAATGTACGTCAAAAACGAACGTGATATAAATAGCATAAAATCACGCCAAGTGCGGTGTTTTTACACAGTTAATGAGGGGTAGGTTAGGAGAGACAGTTTTACAAAATAATTCCATTTTGGATATCAATTGTGAGAAAACAAAAACTATTTTGGAGAATAAGAAAAATAAGTGTTCAATTACAATCATAGCAGAGATGGTGTTCCAAAAGTTGGGGAAGGGAATAAGCCCCTTATACAATAATTTGTATAAAAAGTGTTGGAAACATTATAAATTAAAAAGTGGAGAAATTATTTTTCTCAAGTAATACTTTACACAAATAAATACCAACTCTTATGGTTTTGTGATTAGTGAATGGCTGGGTCTTTTCAGGCTTTGGGATTAATGCTTTTTGTCTTCTTAAACTATGTGATCAATTCTTTACTTGGTCTTATTAAGTGTTTAATTAATTCTTTAAATTGTTTGCCTCATCAGGTTTTATGATGTATCCTTCTTCTTCTTTGATCAGGCTTTGTGGTTCATATATTTAATGTTTAATATTTCGTTTTGTCTTATCGGGTTTTGCGATTAATGCTTTACTATCTTCTCATCTAGTTTATCGATAAAGCTTTGTTTGGTTTTCTCAGGCTTTGTGACTAATGCTTTGTTTAGTCTTCTCAGGTTTTGTGATTAATGCATTGTTTAGTGTTTTCAGCACTTATGATTAACGTTGTTTGGTCCTTCGGGCTTTATGACTAATATTTTGTTTGGTTTTTTCAGGATTTAATACAAACATTTTATTTGATCTTCTCAGGTTTTGTAATTAATGTTTCTTTTGGACTCATTAAGTTTTGTGATTAATGTGTGTTTTTTTTTTCTCAGACTTTGTAATTATGTAGTCTCACGAGGCTTTGTAATTAATGCATTGTTTTCTATTCTCAGTTTGTGTCTAATGTTTTGTCTGGCCTCAGGTTTTGTAATTAATTATTTATTTGGTCTTCTCAGTTTTGATTGTTAATATTTTGTTTGACTCCTCAGTTTTTGTTATTAATTCTTTGTTTCGTTTCAGGTTTTGCGGTTAGTAATTTGTTTAGTCTTCTCAGGTTTTACTGTTAATATTTTTGTTTTGTCTTTTCACGTTTGGTAAATTTGTTTAGTTACTCTCTTCTTTTGTGATTAAACCTTTGTATGGCTACTCCCAGAGACGTCGCTAGGCACTGGCACACGGGGCCCGTGCCCCGATTCCCCAGTTGGTGTCTTGAAAAATTATAATAGAAAACCATAATCGATATCATACTGAAACGCCGAAAATTCTTGCGCCTATTGGCCCGAGATCCGAATCTTTTAATTCAAGCACCTAACGATGCCTCTGGTTGTGTCATTTTTTAATATTAATGCTTTGTTTGATCTTCTCCTGTTTTAGTAATTTACATATGTTGCTTGATTTCATCAGGTTTGTGATTAATGATTTGTTTTGCCTTCTCGGGTTTAGTGATCAGTACTATTTTTCAGTTTTTGCGATAATGTTTTGCTTTGAGGATAAGAAACAATTTTCATTCTTAATTAAGCAATTAATGTTTCAACAGACATTTTTAAACAAGAGTCCAGCGCTATTCATTTAGCTGAATGTTTTTGTATGTATTATCAATTACGTTGTACCTGAAAATTTGTCTTCCAGTATGGATTTGAGCAAGCTATTGAACGTGTTAAGTAAATGAAACATAAAGTCACTTGAGTTTTATGGATACCACTTAGATTTGCTGATATTGAACTAAGCTTTCGTTTAATCATTGTTGTATTTCAAAAGAGTAAAATGAAGAAATAATTAATTTACCCATTTATAAATAATATTTTTTCAAGAATCAAAAACAAAAATATTTTTTAAAAAATATACGTTTAGAAGCTTACCTAATTGAATTAATGAGATGTTTTCTCAATATTTTCTTGAAATGTACAGTTATGTTTTCAGAATTTGTTTCAATATGCTATTTTTTTGTAAAAATCGCAGGTATCTAATCATTTAAAAGTTCATAAATTACAGTTCCCTCTGAAAGTATTTATTGATAAAGTCTATTCTACCTAATATTTCCTTTTACTCTTCAAAGCTACCTAAATCCTTCCATAAGAATGCCAGGAAGGGTGCCAACATCTTCTATCCACCCGGATGTGCAAATGATGTACATCCACTTCATCTTGGCATTCAGAGAGGAGAAACTATTTTTAGTACCCATTCATGGAACTGTAACCATTATGTTTAACATAAATTTTGTTTGTCTGAAATTTTCTTAACAGCCAATTCTTCTACAGATAATAGGATAGTGATTTTAGCCATATATTCTATTGATTCTAGAACTCTATGATCCATATATAGCCAAATGTTCTGAAGACCTAGAAGTGCCTATGACTGTTTATACTTAGAAATTCTGTTGAACACAGGACTGTTATCAGTGGATTTTAGGATTGTCACCTAAGATATTGTTAGAGTTTCTATTGGTCCTAGAACGATCCACTTCAAATTTTGCCAGAAAAATGCGTTGGATCCAGGATCATCATATCATATTTAGCCGGATATTACATTTTGGAACTGTCTTTATATAATGAGTCATCTTCTGATCACAAGACTTTCATCTTGTTCTTAGACAAATATTCTGTGAAACTGGACTATCATTTATATTTAAGCATATATTACGTTGATCCTTGAACTATCACCTCGCATTTATCTGATCAATTACATAGAATTATATTGATGGTAGGTATGGGGTAGCTCGTCTATTCCAGATACGAAACCAAATATGATTCTTTATAAAATTCAGTAGTACTTGTATGATTATGTTAAAAAAACGCATGAACATGTTATTAGTTATTGTTTTTCTTTAAAAAGTGACGAATTTTCTCAACCATAAGACAAATGAGATGAAGAACAACATGAGCTTATATCCACGCAGTTATAATTTTGTCATTTTCGTCAGCCATCTTGTTTTAGGCATCACGAAGCGTAAACATATTTTCCTCGTGACAAATAACAATCGAACCACGTGAAGTAATGCTGTAGTTGCTGTAGCAGTTCCTGGATCGAACCGAAAGCAGCAAAGCTTGTTCCACCAATCCAGAGTACGAGTTAGGGTAGCTTCGGCTGAGTGCACCATTGCTAGCGACATTAACGGATATCTTCCGGGGAAGAAGGAAAATTTCTGTGGCTCCAATGAATCGGAAACGTCGTTAGTTTTGTGAAGGTGATAAAGGCTATCTCAAGTAGATGGGATTACTTTCGTTTACATGTGGTGTCCAAACCTGCACAGCATTGCCATCACCTAGCAAGTGGCGTCAAACTATGTACATTTTTACCATCACGTACCACGTGGCATTGAAATCTGCATATTA